CTTTGAGACACCGTCTCTCACTGAACCTGCAGCTCACTGACTTGGGTTCCTTGGATGGTGGTGAGTTCCAGGGACCCACTTTGCACCTTGTATTGACATTCCAGATGTGCAATGCCACCCTTGGCCTTTTTTCTTATTCTTTTATACTTAGTTATTTACTTAGTGTGTGTAGCTTTAAATGCACAGGCATGGCACTGTGTAGCTGTGAAGGTTAGAAGACACCTGTTAGGAATCAATGCTCTCTTTCTTCCCACGTGTGTTCTGGCGATCAAACTCAGGTTGTCAGGCTTGGTGGCACACGCGTTTACCCACAAACTCACACTGTGGCCCCACATAGCTCTTCATGTAGACACTGGGGATCTGAACTCAGTTCCTCATGCTTCGTGGGGAACATTTCACCACTGGGGCCCCAAGCATGGGATTTTAAAAGTCTCAGACTTAGTTTCCTTTCCACTGTACTTCCTCAGGTTAGCGTGTAAGTTATGAAGTGAATGAAGACTGAGCACCTACTGTGTGCCATTGATAAAAACAACCCTGAAGGTAGGACGAGCTGCATTTTATGCAGCAGGAAATGAGTTCAGAGAAATGAAATCCTTTGCTGAGGCTCACATAGTTAAACAATACATTCAGAGCTAGTGGCAAGCTGTACAGTTTCTAGCTCCTGGCACCCAGGTGGTCTCCTAGAGCTTACAACATTTCTCCTGGCCTTGCTCTACTTGAAGACTCAGGACAGGGACCTCCCCAGGCATTTGGTCCTGACATTTTAATCCACACTGGAGCTTTGGGATTTAGACACTGTGTTTAAAACAAGGCTGGACAGGGTGTCCTTGTCGGTGTGTGCCTGTGTGCAGGTACTAACACATTCCTTATGCAGCAACCCTGCATACGCCCCTTAACTCTCACCAGCTCCTACCTGGGCCCCAAGCCTGGAATGGGTCTGGACTGTGACGGAGACCTCCCTCACAGGCTCCCAACCTGACTTGTCTGGAGCCTGCCCTGAGTCCATAAAGGAACAAAGAAAGCTGCAGCTTCCTGGTCCAGCTCTCCCTGGGTAGGTATGGTGACCCTGTGGTTTCCAGTTCATCTGCCAAGAGCTGTGGCCAATTCAAGGTAAATAATGAACCCATAAAACAAGGCCTTGGCTGCAGGATGCTGCTCTCAGGACAGTTGGCAGGGGCCTATCGGGGAGGGGACAAGTAAAGGGCCCTGTCTTACTCTGTACCCCATCTGAGGCCTTTTAGGAGAGAATGTTGAATGTTTGCTGCCCTGTGCCATGATTCCTGCCAAGTCTGAAGGAGGTGCTTTTTCTTCCTTTTCCTTAGGGATCTCTGTGCCTTAGCTTGCTCCAACTCATAAGGCGGCTTATAAAATCATGGTCCCAGAGCCCTGCTCTTCCTTCTCACCCCTAAGCCCCTACTTGGGGCTTCTTCCCCTACTTTTTTTTTTTTGTTTTTTGTTTTTTTTTTGTTTTTAGAGACAGGGTTTCTCTGTGTAGTCCTCACTGTCCTGGAACTCACTCTATAGACCAAGCTGGCCTCGAACTCAGAAATCTGCCTGCCTCTGCCTCCCAAGTGCTGGGATTAAAGGTGTGTGCCACCACCGCCCTGCGCCCCCCTAGTTTTCAACAGCCACAATCTGCTTTCTGTACTTTAAATTCTCAGGAGGATTTGAGCTTTTGGCAGAGGCCAAGCAGCACCCAGCCTCAGATTGCCTGGAGATCCTTGTCCCTGTCTATAAAAGCCTCCCTTGTCATAGCTGAAAGCCTCTCTGTGCCCCAGGGGCCCCTGGAATGTGACTGTAGGGAGGGGTGTGGGCCCACACAGGTGTGGCAGGTGACTGGGCCGTCAGCACAGGAGGCTGTGGGTTGGGTGTGGGTAGACACCTTTCTTTGTGTGCTCAGGGTGGAAAGGCCTCAGAGTTGTTTATGGGGTGATCTGGGGATGGAGATGGGGCTGAAAGTAGAGAGGGTCTTTCCACCACGGTAGTCATCATGGCCACTACTCCAGTTTGTATCACATTTCCCATCAGCCACCTTGCTTTTATACACCTGCCAGGTTTGTCTGTGTGTGGAGTTGTTTTCATTTTTCTTGTATAGACTGAAGCTCTGAGGGAGAGACTGAATCATTGCCCAGAGCCGCATTCATGGTGAAATACAGAAAGTGGGACTCTAAGGTCAGAAGTTGTGTACTCTAGCCTCAGAAGCAATCTAGGGGTCAAGAAAGCTGTGAATGTGGGTAGGAGAACAGTGTTTAGGTGGCTTCCCTCTGTGTATGTCATCTGGGTGTTCATGATGGTGCTGACAATCCATTTTGACCCATGATCCAGGCTCATCGAGGGTGAGGTACACATGAGATAGTTAGAACCCAGTTAGTGTCATCCCACTGGGCAGCATGGCCTCATTCCCAGGAGGGAGATTTCTGTTCCAGAGACACCTGTTTAGTTACTATGGGTACCAGAACTGGCACACATCTATCTTCCTTGCTGATGATGAGGCCCCAAACTTCACCCAAATATGTGCACACAATGGCCATTTGGGCTGATCAGGTCCCTCCCTCCCTCGCTTTCTTCCTTCTTCCCTTTCTTTCATGTGTATGAACATACGAAGGCCAGAGTTCTTCTTCCACCTCTTTCCATCTTCTTTTTTTTGAGAGGGAGTCTTTCTCTGAGACAGGGGCTCATCAATTGGGCTAGACTGGCTGGCCACTGAGCCCTGGAGATCTACTTTTTCTCCCCAACCCCTACCCTGTCCTGGGGTTATAAGCCTGTAACACTGTGCCTGCTTTTACATGGGTATTGGGAATGCAGACTCTGGTCCTTATGCTTGTGCAGAGAATATGCTATTGACTGAACCATCTCTTTAACCCTGAGACTTGTCTGAAAGACAAGAAGGCAGGTGCCACTCCTGGCCAGGACTAAAGAGCGGAAGGAAAGCCACCCCAAGGGCTGTTAGCAGAGAGACAAGGTGCAGAAGGGTGCTGGCTGGAGTCCAGTTCTCCCTCACCCTGGGGTGATGGAAGATTAATTGTTCTCTGTGTTAATTGCTGGGGCCGCCATGTCTGCAGAGGCTTTAATGAGCTCTGACTGATCTGGGTTTGATTATTTTTCTTTGGAAGGAAAAGACAATATCCTCCCACCCATAAGACAATACTATACTGTCTGAAGCCAGCACCGGGATGCCTGGCTTGCTGTGAAGACCGTGAAGAGCTCTTTCTTTGGGGCCTGCAGTTCTCCTTTTAACCCAGTTCTGATAACTGGAAAGTTTTCTATGTCTTGCTTGGGTGATTGGGTGGCTGGGGTGTAGGTGGATAGGGGGAAAGGGGTAAAGGGTTGGTGGGGATTCAAAGGACCATCAAAATCCTGGCAGTTCCCTTTTCAGCTGGGCCATCTTGTGTTCATAGTGTCCCCCTTTGGGTCCTAATTTCATTCCTTCTGAAACTTGGGCTTTCTGGGCAGCCCAGTTAAACTCTGTGCTATTGGATTAGATGGGACTGTGAATACAAAAATACTTTGTCAATCATGAAAGTATGAGGCAGAAGTAAAGGATTATCCTGTTACATCAAAAAGGAGGGTCATCTGATGGCCACCTGGAGCTGCAGAGCCTGAGAATATACCGAGTCGGAGGACAGGGTTCTTCTGGGAGGATTCTCAGGGTTATCAGGAGGTTCAGGCAATGGACCTGCACCCATCACTGCTTTAGATGGATAACAGGGAGTCAGGATAGGAATCTTGAGCCTCAGCACTTTCTATGAAGTGAGAGTCCTATACCACAAGAAGCTGAGCCTAAAAAGCAACATGTGTTGAGTTTTGCAGGAGTCATTGGTAGAGATGGGTGTTTAAACACAGGCCCAAGGCACACCAGAACCTGATCCACTTTCCTATATTGCAGCCCCTATCAGGAGTCCTTCTCTGAGCTCTCTCCAGTCTGAGCAGCACTGCTCACAGTACCATTACCTTAGAGATATAGGGCTATTAAGCTGATGGCAGAGGACCCTCCTGAATGTGTGACTTTCTACCTGCTTGCCACCCCCATCTCTGCCTTACCTCATAGTTTTGAGGCAGAGCCTCTAGCTCAGCCCCTCCCCAGCTGGCAGCAGTTGACAAGGCAAATGGGGGTTAATCTGGGTCTGCTAAGCAGCGACATGTCTTTTGCTGGAGAAGGCGGGGGCTTTCTGGAACTTGCCCGAGTCTTATCTGCAGAGGTTTGCCCCAACGCGTCTTGGGAGCAAGCAAAGGTTTAGTGACATGTGCAGTTGGCAGGTGACAGGGTGATCAATCAGGCTCCTGTCAGCCCAAACCTTCTGGGCTTTTGTGAGCTAGCCAGGCCATGGGCTTGAGGGGAGGAGGGGTGGCTGTAGAGGCAGGAGGGACTTCTGGAATCAGAGTGGTGGGAGGGATGGTAAGAGTAGGAGAGAACACTCCCAGGCACCAGGGATGGGACAGAGGGACAGATACTGGCTTTTCTGGTCACCTTATTTGGAACTTGACTCAAGACCCTCTCTTCTGTCCCCAGCTTGCCCTGAGGATACTTGTGTTCTCATTCCTAGGAACTTCCATGTCTCAGAGGCACAGGCCCGTTGAGTAGGCAGCACCCAGCAGCCATGGGAGAAGCTGAGAGCAGGGAGCTTCTTGGGGTGAGGCTCACACACTGTCAGTGGGGGGCAGAGCTGGCCTAGCTGCTCTAACGGGATGGGACATGAGAAACCTCAGGAAGTGTGCTATGGTGAGAGTGTGCTCTTTCTCCTGGAGTGAAGAAATGAACCTGTAATCTGAGTGTTAAAACTATGGCCTAGGGCAAAACCCCATTAATTCTGAATCATCTGTTTTGTTGCATTAAGAAAAAAAAAAAGGAAAAGAAAAACTCCCCACAAGTGAGCTCTGTGGAGGTGTGCGGGCAGCTGTGTTTGTCTGGAAGGCAGAGGAGTTGGCTCCATTCAGGGGGAGGAGGTGAGGCCCCCACCCCCTCTGAAGGGTATATAAGGAGTCCCAGGCTAGGAGTGACAAGGCACTGCAGTCTGCTTTCAGCCCAGCTCAGACGCTCTTGCTAGAGTCTCTCCTGCTTGCTAGCGACACGAAACACAGGCTGTCTGACCATGGCCACCACATTCTTGCAAACGTCTTCCACCTTTGGAGGCGGCTCTACCCGAGGGGGTTCCCTCCGTGTCGGTGGAGGCAGCTTTGGTGGAGGGAGTCTCTATGGGGGAGGCGGAAGCCGAAGTATCTCTGCTTCATCTGCTAGGTTTGTCTCCTCGGGGGCAGGAGGGGGGTTTGGAGGTGGCATGAGTTGTGGCTTTGGGGGTGGTGCTGGTGGTGGTTTTGGTGGAGGCTTTGGTGGGGGTTTTGGTGGTGGCTTTGGTGACTTTGGTGGTGGCGATGGAGGTCTCCTCTCTGGCAATGAGAAGGTGACTATGCAGAACCTCAACGACCGGCTGGCCTCCTACCTGGACAAAGTGCGTGCCCTGGAGCAGGCCAACACAGAGCTGGAGGTGAAGATCCGAGACTGGTACCAGAAGCAGAGCCCAGCCAGTCCAGATCGAGACTACAGCCATTACTTTAAGACCATGGAAGAGATCCGGGACAAAGTAAGTCTGTCAAACAGAGGGACGCAGTGGCTCGTGTCCAGTACACATCTGTAACATCAACATTATTGCTGACTAAGAGAGTCTTACCTGCTCTGTAGCCTTGGCAAGGTCGGATACACCTGCTTTTTGGGCATGAGTGGGAGCCCATCTGTTCCCCCTTGGCAGTGCTGGGGGAGGAAGTGGTCCTGAGAATCTGATTTGGATACGTGGGGATGCAGGTGAGGGTAATGAAAGAGAGTGATTCCTTCTTTTTGACCCACAAAATTTGCAAGGAGTTTTGTACATGCTTGTTTTGAATTTTTTGGCTTGACTGCTGTTCAGGTGCAGCTTCATAAGTCCTAAATACCAGGACTGTTTGCTTCAGCCCTTTAAAGACAACTTTATTGTTGAAAGCTTTGTTGGGTTTTAGGAGACCAGGGAACTCGATATAGGCCATGCCACCCCCTCACTTTCCCTTTCGCTAATGGTTCTGTTTTTCTTAGCTGTAAATGCTTTCCTTAGTTACTGTCTAAGTTCCCAGTGGGTTCTGGAGACCAAGGGCTCTGTCAAGGCATGCAAGAGGCAGCCAACTGTGAGCTGAGCCCAGTTAGGCTGGTAGAGTGTGTCTCTGGAGAGCCCTTACTGGATGGAGGCAACTGTATCCATTGCAGCACCACTTTGGCTGGCCATGTCCCACAGGCAATTCCAGGCAATGTTGCCCAACTTAATTTCTATCCCCTGAAAGTATCACAGTGTAGGTAGCTTGGGTCATCAGAAGTAAAGTTCAGAGGAAGTGAAGTTGGGGAATAGTTGGCAAAGGGGCAACTTGGGCATAGGACAGAAAGCAGCAGCTCTTAGGTGTAACTCTCTGTCTCCCACAGATTCTGGCTGCCACCATTGATAACTCGCGTGTTATCCTGGAGATTGACAATGCCAGGCTGGCAGCAGATGACTTCAGGCTCAAGTGTGTTTCCACTGTCTTGCCCCTTTCTATAGACTCCCTTTACCTAGCCTTCCTCTTCTCCGACTCAGAAACCTGGGCCCCTCACCTTTCTTGACTTTGGCTTCTTTCCTCTCTCCAGGTATGAGAATGAGCTGACCCTGCGTCAGAGCGTGGAGGCCGACATCAACGGCCTGCGCCGGGTGCTGGATGAGCTGACCCTGTCCAGGGCTGACCTGGAGATGCAGATTGAGCAGCTGAATGAGGAGCTGGCCTACCTGAAAAAGAACCATGAGGAGGTGACAGCAGGACAAGCATCGTGGGAAGAAGTGCCTGTCTTTTGTCATAGTCTGTAGAGGGCTTAGTGGTTCAGAAATGCACCCCAAGGGCCTGTGGAGGCGAAGGAGCGCTATTCTTTTGTAATCTGGATCCTGAAGGACTGGTTTTCTTCATGGGCTTATTGTCTCTAGGTCCTTGTTTCACAGGACCCAGAGCAAGAGCGATCCTCAGAGCTGAGGGGTCCACATGACCCAATGGGGAACAGAGACATAGTGGTACTATGTGCTAAGGTTGTCCCTCAGGACTCCAGGTTCTTAGGTCTTTTTTTTTCTTTTATATCCTTGTCTCTAAATGGTCTCCCCCACCTTGCAGGAGATGAAAGAGTTCAGCAGTCAGCTGGCTGGCCAGGTCAATGTGGAAATGGACGCGGCCCCCGGAGTGGACCTGACCCGCATGCTGGCAGAGATGAGGGAGCAGTATGAGGCCATTGCAGAGAAAAACCGTCGAGATGTAGAGGCCTGGTTCTTCAGTAAGGTGGGTCTGACCCCCCTCAAATCCCCTCCCCCCCGCAACAGCTCTGCTCTACCCCTCCTCCCACTCCAGAGGCCTCTGAGGAGGCCCATAAGTTCATGTTTCTCACCTGTGTCTTGCAGACTGAAGAGCTGAACAAGGAGGTGGCATCTAACACAGAAATGATCCAGACCAGCAAGACGGAGATCACAGACCTGAGGCGGACCCTGCAGGGGCTAGAGATCGAGTTGCAGTCTCAGCTCAGCATGGTACAGTCACTCTAGCATATTGGGCGGCACATGTACCCATCTTCCATGGCTGGTAAAGCCTCAACCCCCACTCCTGACAGTGGTTATTCTGGGCAATCCATCTCATCCTTCCTACCCCTCAACCTACCTCTGTAGGTTGCCTTCTAGCCTGATGGATCTATAAATCTGTTGCTCCAACAGAAAGCCGGGCTGGAGAACTCTCTGGCAGAGGTGGAGTGCCGCTATGCCACACAACTGCAGCAGATTCAGGGGGTCATTACCGGCCTGGAGACTCAGTTGAGTGAGCTCCGCTGTGAGATGGAGGCTCAGAACCAGGAGTACAACCTGTTGCTGGACATCAAGACTCGGCTGGAGCAGGAGATTGCCACTTACCGGAACCTGCTCGAGGGCCAGGATGCTAAGTAGGTGCAGAGGTACAGGGAGAGAAAGTAGGGGGCAAATGTGCCAGGGTCCAGGGCATCCCAAGAGCTGTGTTGTTGAGTGGAAAGGGACCCGAAGAGTCTGGAGTCTACGTTCTGGTGTTTGGGTGTTACTTTGAGTGTATCACTTCCACTCTCTGGACCTGTGCTTCTCCTGTAAACAATGGACAGGACATTGCTACAGCTCTTAGTCTGTCTGTCTGGGATGGGAAGTCTGATAAACTGACCACCAGGATCTCCTAGGCCCTAGAAAACTCATATATGGTCGGGGGACTGGAGAGGACTACTCAGCTGTCGACTGGGGGCTGGTTCCCTTAGGGAGACTGGTTTTTTCCTCTTTGACTAACACTCGCTGTCCCATCTCTTTCAGGATGGCTAGTATTGGTGTCAGGGAAGGTAAGAGAGGGTAAAGCCTTTTTGGTGTGGGTGGAGTGGGGAAGGAGGAAGAGACAGATATTCCAATAGGGTCGGGTACTTCTGTTTCAGAATATACTCTTTCGCCTTGGACCCTGGGTGGGACCGATTAGAAGTTTCCTAAGAACATTTCAGGCTATGCAGACTTTGTCTGGGACTTGCCTTTTTTACCTGACCTCACATCTCACCATCATGCTGATAGGATAGGATACTCACAGAAACTGCTGTTCACGCATAGCTTAACCCTCCCCACCTTCCCACCCTCCACGCCCCCATATCATTCCTGAGGTAACTAACTCTCACCTCTGAGGAGTAATCCACCAGACCTCCTGGCAGCCCCAGAGGGCATGACCAGTAGCTATTCTCAAGGGTGCAGTCCATTTTCCCAGAGTCTAAGCCAGCTTCTGGAGGTCCCCCAGGCTGAAGCCTGTTCTTTGCTTCTGCAGCATCCCTGGGAGGAGGCAGCGGAGGCGCCAGTAGCAGCAGCAGCAACTTCCATATCAGTGTGGAGGAATCGGTTGACGGAAAAGTGGTTTCTTCCCGTAAGAGAGAAATCTAAGTATCTGGCGCAGGAGAGAAGAACCTTGCCACCCCCTGCTCTCCCTGGGCTGAGAGAGGCACTGGACAGAGAGGCTGGGAAAGTAGGCTCCAGTCCATGCCTTTGAGGATCTCCCTGCTTTCCAGTTCCTGGCTCTGCATGTTCTTCCTACTGTAGCTTTCCCTGCTTCCTTTTGAGTGTGGTGGTGCAGGAAGCAACAGACCTTTGCATGGCTGCTGTTCCCTCAATAAAGAATCACATTTGTTTTCACAATTGCCGCTCCGTCCAGGGTTTTGCTTTGTGGTTTTTATTTTTGTTTTTCTTTGGTGAGATCCAGTTCTAAGTGCAGGGTGGGGGCGGTGGCTACCATTCTGACACTTGTGTGTTTTTATTCCTCCCTGAATGATAATACATAGTTCATTCTTGAGTGTGCAGGGTGTTGTGGCCCCAGAAGGTGGCTTGCTTTTCTGCTTTATCCCACGGGGCGGGGAGGGCTGGGAAGGTTGGAAGTGGCCCTGGGGGAGTCCCCTAGGGTGATTTGGGACACCCAGCATGGAACACATGTCTAATAATTATTTTTCAAGTGACTGGTGTACACCAGTATTCAGCCATCACTATGCTAGGTACACTCATCCACGTGTCTGATTCAATACTTATCACTGTAGGTGGTCAGGGTTTGTCCTTCCCATCTTAGAGATGAGGATCTTGCTATTGCCGACATAGAGGGCTTGCCTGGTAGCCTGGTGGAAGGGCAGTAAACACTGGGGCTGGACTGGATCTCCTACTTACATGACTTCATAACCAGATCTTGTTCTGGGATCCCAGGCCGTAGCCATGCACAGCTTGTTGCAAGACCCTGTTCCTGGTTCTGTCCTTATCTCATTCTGTTTAGCTGGGTACATTTAGCATTCAAGATGACCAGCTAAATCCATCTCCGTCCCTCTGTAAAGCTGTACTTTGCCCCCTTGAAGCAGATACTTCCACATAAGTCACCTAGAGGAAAAGACATTTGCTTCTGGAAGCCCTCTTAGATTTTCCCAAGGTCAAATCTGAAGCAACTCTGGCCCTTGCTGCCTTCCTTCACCCACATCTCCGTGTCTGCTCCCAATTCCCAACGTCTCCCGGGGCCTTTTAGAGCAGCCATGTCCACACACACCTGCTTCTTGCCTCTGGTCTGGGACTACTTCCTCTGAGCCCAGATCTTAATGTCTTGAACAGAGTGTAGGTAAAGAAGACATGGAGGGAGCTGAGTACCTCAGCTGGGCTATGCCAGCCTCTGAGGTGAGGACAGGGGATAGGAGGGAGATACTTTTGTTTGTTTTAGTTCTGCTGGGAAGAGCAGGCTGGAGGAAGCTCTCCCTTGTCTCTAAGGGAAGCACCAAGTCTCTGTGGAGGGTCTGAGTTGTCTCCATGGGCAAAGCCCCTTCTCTACAGACCCTTGAAGGAGATGGTGCCTGCTCTTCTGAGGAGGCCAAGGGGACAACACGACTCCAGACAGCACAGTGAAACCTGACTTCCCTAGGCTGGAGGAAGGTAGCAGGATTTTCCTGAGTGCCTGCACTATGCTGGCCCTGGGTAGGGCTTTCCATGAGACCGTCTCATTAAGCTATTAAGCTTCCCACACACACTGTGAAGGGCTGTCAGCCTCTAGAGTCAGTTTCAGAAACGGAAACAGAGGCCCAGGAATGTGAAGTAATTTGAATGAGGTCACAAGCCAGAAATGGAAACACTGGGTCCTGATGAGTCTCTCTGACCCCAGGGTCCTTGCTTTCTTTTCAAGACTGGAGGTAGTAGAAGCTGAGTAGCCGAGTTGCCGAGTTGCCGAGTCTCTTTTTTTTTTTTTTTTTTTTTTTTTATTAAAGAGAAGTGCTGACTGGAACCCATTCGTGATCTCCAGGAAGCCTGTTTAAATGTCACAAATAAATGCTGTTAGAAAAATTGTCCTGGCATCTGGCCTTTGTTTCTCATGTGGTGGCTTATGCTTTCATGGAAGGTTAAGACATTAACTACAGTCTCTGTTTATTCGCATCCTGAGAACTACCAGGTTCTGTACCAAGCCTCCTTTGGCCCAGATAGTAAAGCTGGTAGCCTGGTTTCTTCTCTGTCTCACTGGCCTTTGGGCATGAAAGGAGAAGCCTCAGACCAAGCCAATATTTTTATGTCTTCAGTTTGCAAAAACAAACAAAATAAAGCAAGCAAACACCTCTGCAAAGGCAAGTGGGTACAAACTGAGGGTGGTGTTGGCTTGCTTTCTCCTGCAGCCAGACCTAGAGTATTAGGCAGGGGAAACTGCCTCTCTGGAAGGCAATATGGCTCAGTGAGTAAAAGAGCTTGAGATTCACAACCTGAGTTCAAGCCCCAGGATCCACAGGATAGGAAAGAACCAACTTCCATAGGTTGTCCTATGACCTCAATATGTGCATAGGACAATCTCACTCTCCCCACCAATAAGGTATAAAATAGGTGTGAAACATATAGTGTATTCATGTGTGTGTGGGAGAGAAGGAAGCAAGGAGGGAGGGAGAGAAACACAGACACACATACAGACACACACACAGATACACACAGAGAGAGAGAGAGAGAGAGAGAGAGAGAGGGGGAGGGAGGGAGGGAGGGAGGGAGGGAGGGAGAGAGAGAGAGAGAGAGAGAGAGAGAGAGAGAGAGAGAGAGAGAGAGAGAGAGAATTCCCTGGCTAGCTTCAAATTCCTGTATAGCTAAGGATGGCATAGAACTTCTGATTCTCCTTTCTCCTGTTTCCACTGGGTTTATATGTATGGGCCACCATGCTGCCTTGAGGTACCTATTTCTGCTTTCCTGGGATCCCCAAAGGTGTTGTCAAGATGTTCTTCCTCTGCCTTGGTCCTGGAAATGCTTGTATCATGAGATAGCTCATGTCCTATGAGCCCTTAAATAGTTTCTGGGCAGAAGAGGCACACCTTCTGTGTGTCCTGGGCTGAGGTCAGGCTTGGATTCAGCCAACTCCAGGAAGCAGGCAGCAGGTGAGACCCCTCCCACCTCTACAGAAGAGGGTGGCTGTAGGACTGGAGATTATGGCTGTGGGTGTGTCTTCTGATCAGGTTGAGCTCCCCAGAGCAGTCAGGAGACATGAGAGCTACCATATCTCCTGACTACTGAAGTCAGTCATTTTCCTTCTCTGAGCCTCAGTTTCCCAACCTGTCAAACGAGGAGTTTGACTAGACATGGTGACATGGGGCCTCTAAGAAGAATCAGGCACTGGACCCTCTGCAGAATCCCCAGTTGGCTGCTACATTAGTGTTTATTGATCTTGTACCTGGAGTTGCTGCTTCTTCTCTGCTCTTGCCTGATATGTGGCTCTGGACAGCCTCCAGTCCCTTAGATGTGTGTCTATGTGGCAGTCACCTGCAAGTGCAATGGGAAGAAACAGGTCCAGCAGGACAGTTTTTCTCCTGGGACTTGGAGCTGGCATAGCTTACTGGATATGGCTTCTGTGTGCCATGTCTTATTATTTGCACTCACGGACAAAGAACCTCCCGTGCCTCCCACCAAAGCTTCTCAGTTTCTCTGTACCAGGAGCTATGTTTGGACATGTGGCCAAGGATCGGGTCCTCAAATAGGGTAGAGGAAGTGCTATAGGAGCTGGCTGCCAGCTGCTCGGTTGCTATGGATGCTATGCAGGGACCAGAGAGGGAGGAAGGTGAAGCTGTGTGTCACTGCAGGGTGGAGACTCAGGAGGATTTTCAGATTGGCCATCTAATAATGAGTTTGTATTTCCTCCCAGGGAACTCGATCCCTGACCCGTGCCTTTTTTATCCCGGGTATTTGATAAGCCTTAGGCACTCACTCATCGAAGACTTGTTTTTCAGTTGTAGCCATTCAGGCCCTGGGAGGTTGAGTAACTATCTTAAGGTCACACAGCTACTTGGTGGCCAGTGGAGGTTTGAAACTCAGATTCATCTCATCCGAAGTCTTTGCTGACCCAGCTGAGTTTCTGGGAAGCTAGTATCGACATAAAGGGATTTTAGAATTAGGCACCGTAGACCTGCCAGGGCCCGAGGCACCAAGGCGGCTTTGAAGTGATTTCTGAGTTGTTCTGTAACAAGCAGGTGTCTCGGAGGAGGCAGAGCCACCTCAAGGCCTGGGTTGATCATCAGGAGAAGGATCTGCCTGTCAGAAGACGAAGGAGGGGCCCCATCTAAGCAAGACATTGTAGTAGGTAGGAGTCAGGGGACAGGGTGCAAGCCAGGGAGGGCTCTGCGCATGAGCAGTTGGGTAAAGAGACTTGGAAGGACAATGCAAGGCAACTTAGGGATGGTGTCACTGTGAGGTTCACTAGAAGCCTGGAAAATCCTTGCATTCCTCCCTGTTGTCTTCGATGCCAGGCCTCAGAGCATAAAGAGGTCAAATTCTTACGACAGGTCTCCCTTGAGTGAGTACTTCCATAATCCCTGAGCTTGGACTAGGTAAAGATACCAGATAGGCTGATACCACATGCCATTAGCATCATAGGTCTAGCCACCTTGGGATTCAGGATCATCCAGTGGCTAGATGCTAGAGATGCTTGAGCACAAGGAAGCCAGCAGATGCTATGCTTGCTCCGATGGGGGTGGGGTTGACACTCAGAAACTTGAGTACCCACCACTAAGGGATAATACATAGACCCATAGGTGAGATGAAAAACATGACTTCCAGGTGTCCTAGGGCAAATGAATTGCTTGTTTGAAACTCACCTGCTTAAAAAAAAAGCAGAGAACAAACAGACAAACAAAACAAGAAGCCAACTGTTGGTGGCCAGCGGCCACAGTCGACCGGGTTCACCTGAAAGAGAGGCTGGGAATGGAAGAAAGGACAGGAGGGCGGGAAGAGATGAAGCCAGGACAAAGGTTTCTGATCAAGGCTCAATGCTTTAATGTTCAGCTTCTAATTTAAAGGGGATAACCCACTCCCACCCCCAGAGTTTCTTCTTGCTTCAGCCAGCTGGGGGTGAGAGGAATACATACTTAATTGTGGGCCAGAGATGTCAAGGCAAGCTCAGCAGACAGTCTATTCTTCTCAGCGTGTGTACCAGGCTACAGACAGCCAAGGAGGTGCCAAGGCAGGCAATGCCTCCAGAGTCCTATTGTTTGGTCTATTGTGGTAAACAAGGTCTCGTCTCTCAGGCCTGCTCAAGGCTGAGAGAAAGACACAGCCAACAACACTAATCAACCATCCAATCCACCAGCTAACTCACCAGCCAACCAACCAACCAACCAACCAACCAACCAACCAACCCACCCTATCCTGAGCTGGGGATC